GGCTAAGCAGAGGGAGACAGGCTTTTATAACTTTATTTCGAATACAAGTGAAATAATAATGAGGATTTGAGCTTTCCCACTCCTAGTTTAAATTTTAAAAAGAAACCCCAAAGGGCTAGAGCTTCTAAAAAGATAAAGATTTTTTTCCCCCTAGAATACATGAGAAAAAGATCTGAATACAAAGGTGGTAGCTTGATAATGGCTACAATCACAAGAAAGCCTGTCAGCCTCGGCTCTCCTAGGAAACCAAGCCAAAGGGGAGATGCACACACAAACACCCATGTTGGTCCATATGTTCATACACAGACACATGCGAATGCACTTTTATACCCTTATGTATCAACAAATATACACATGCATGCATATACATAAACACATGTATACGAAGAAGACATACATACATGCATATGTACACACACACACACACACACACACACACACACCCATTTACACACACAGAGATTTTAATGAATTGGCTAATGCAATTGACCTGGTAAGTCTAAAATCTGCAGTCCAGGCAGGACAGCTGGTGCTCCTGGGAAGAGATGGTGCTATATAGCTTTTCCTCCTCCTAAGGAAACCTCAGTTTTCACTCTTGAGGCTTTCAACTGATTGGATGAGGCCAACCCATATTACGGAGAGTCATTGGCTTTATTTGAAGCTGACCAATCTAGACGTTCTTCACTCATCTAAAAAAAAAAAGAAAAAGAGAAAGAAAAACCTTCACAGTAACATCTAGACTGACATTTGACCAAACGACTGGGCACCATGGCCTGGCCCAAGTGGACACATGAAATTAAACATCACAGGAAAGAAGAAAATAGGTCATTCAAACAAGACTTTGTACTTTTTCTTTGAAAGTTATCAGAACAGTCTGATTTCTTGGGAATAAGAGAGTGTCTGTACTACTGGAGGAAACCCCGCAGGGTCCCCGACACCTTCCACCCCTGTGAAGATCTTGATTCTATTCACTCCCAGGGTTCCAGGCTCATCCTGACATGTGGGGAGGGGCTATGGTGTGGATGGTCAGTCCTGGGGCACCACGACCTTCCAGTGCACTTGCTGACAAAAATACACATGACCTGAGGGTGATCAGGTCATGTGAGCCCACCCACAGTTCCCCACTTCATTAGGAATGACCGACATCCAGGGCCTGCGCTGGCCCTCACCTGTGGTCTGCCGCACCCCCTCCCTGCTTGCCTGTTCCAGGCACAGGGACCTGGGTGCTCCTCGAGGTCCTTCTGACAGCCTGGGCTCACACCTCAGCTTCCCAGGGACGCCTTGGCTCACCTGCCCACGGCTTCATTCTGTCACCTGATGATTTCACTTATTCTGTAATTCATTGCTTTTGATTCCCACTCTGGAATAAAAGCCTCCAAAGAGCAGCGTTCTGTCTGTCTGCCCCGCTCAGGTACCCATGGCCTCACACTTCGCCTGGTATGCAGCAGACACCCAGTGGTTTGCCAAATGGATGAATGATGATTTCAGCCTGCTGTGACAGGTCGCACTCGGTGGCCTCTAACCCCTGTCCAGCAGCACCTCTGGGCTTTTCTAATTGCCCGATTGAGGTGCCCTAGGAAGAGTGGGGGACCCTTGCAAATCCCTTCTGGGGGTTCCATATACAAATAACTTGAGAACATTGTACATCTGATTTAAAGTAATCTTTTCAAAATTTTTTTGTAGTGGTAGAGGGTCAGAATGCCTTTATTTTATTTGTTTATTTTTATGTGGTGCTGAGGATCGAACCCAGTGCCTCACATGTGCCAGGCAAGTGCTCTACCGCTGAGCCACAACCTTGGCCCTAAAATGATCTTTTTCCAACTAAATATAGAACACAAATCTGTAAGAAATTGGAATTTGTTATTTGGAAGACTTATGTTTATTTTTCCATACCTATAATATACTGAGATAATAATATACTATACTCTTATATAATGAAAATAAACCCTTATTTATTGATCCATGCATCAGTAAACAATGCTGATGTCCTGCTGTCACATAGTCCAATCTTATTGACTTTTCCAGGAATAAAATATGGAGTTTTATGATTTGGCCTTTTTGCTTAGTCTGTGTTCCAATTCAAAAACAAGGAAACAAAGCAGATATTTAAATATCAGGCTTGGAAAAAAATGTAAGATTTTTTTTGTTTGCAGAATAATAAATGTATATCACAAATTCAGCCAGATTTTTAGGGCAAGTTGAGGACTAGATAAAACCACTATGTACTTGTATCAAAATATCCTGAGAGCTTCACCTTCCTTTTTCATCTAAGATGCTTATTCTGAAGATTTAAGCTTGACGACAGGATCCTTTGTCTTGGAAGAAAAGATCCTGGCTGCAGTTGGACCCCACAGTTGTGGGTGCTGGATAAACAGGGCCAGGGCTCAGCAAGGAGGCCGAGGTCCAAGCTTGGGCAGGGAGAGAAGGCTCAGAGAAGCCCACACTTGTCCTGGCTTCGTTGATGTCCCCACGAGGCAGTCCTACCTGGACGTCAGTGTGGGAAGCTGGTGCTGAGCCTTCCAAGACGCCCAGCCCGCGTCCTGCCTCTGCTCCTGTTGACAGGCAATGCCAGCACGTGGACCTGCTGGAGTCTGTCCTAGGTGTTGAGCTCACTGTCCTTTGACATGGTGGCCCTGGGAATGAGGAGTTAGGCTTCAAGCTCCTTAGCTATGTTGTCTCTTTGGGTGGTTCACGTAAAAACAGCAGGCCCAGTGCAGGGGGCCGACTCCACCATGGGCCCCACTGAATCCCCACAGTTTCTCCTACATCATCCCCACTGTCCATCCTGGGAAAACTCAGAACCGTGAAATGACTGGCCCCAGGGCAGCTGGGATGAGTGGATCTAGGGTTCAAAACCAGGTCTGTTCCAACTGTGGAGACCAAAGTTCTTCTTTCCACTTTTTTTTTTTTTTTGGTAATATTTCCACCAGCTGAGTGCTGCGTCTCAGCACTTTTGCATACACATAATCTTAAATAATTCTCATGGCAACTGGAATAGGTGAATATTCCTCTTGCTTCCCTTCTCAAGATGGATGATGAGGCTCAGAAAAATACTGTGTTTTGTCCAGGGAGATACAAAAGTAAGGAGACAAAAGCAAGATCTAAACCCAGCAATGTGTCCCTGGAACAGAACCAGGGGCTTCTGTGTGGGTCTGAGCAGCTCACTCTCCTTCCCTGCAGAACATTATAAAGTTTGATCATATGTGTGCACAACAAGAGCACTTTAAAAAATATATTAAAATTAGCAGTTTTACAGGCCACATTCTTTTAAATAATAATAATAATAATAATAATAATAATATGTCTGAAAATATTCTAATCTACCTAGAAATACTTCTACATAACCCATGGATCAAAGCGGATGTGCTCTATATGAAAACTGTAATTGAAACCACCCAGCAAGCTCTGGCTTCCTGTCTCCCCATGTGATCTCTCTCTGTCTCTCACACACACTCCTTCCATGAGGCCTCCACAGGGCTGAACAGAAGCTGGCACTATGCCCTGCATCCTCCCGACTCTGCAGGAGGCAGGAGACCTCTCCATCTCTTCCTGACATGGCTTTTGCTAATGAAGAACATATGCATTTCAAGTCGGGCAGCTCAGGAGGCTGAGGCAGGAGAATCTCAAGTTCAAAGCCAGCCTCAGCAACACCAAGGCACTAAGCAACTCAGTGAGACCCTGTCTCTAAACAAAATACAAAATAAAGCTGGGAATGTGGCTCAGTGGTTGAGTGCCCCTGAGTTCAATCCCTGGTAACCGCCACCCCCCTCCTGCCAATAAAAACACTTGCATTTCAAAAAAAAAAAAAAAAAGAATCACCCAGTGACATAAAAGTAGAGGGGCCGGTGCCTGGGGCTGGGGCTCAGTGGTAGAGAGCTCCTCTCATGGATGAGGTACAGGCTCAATCCTCAACACCACACAAAAATGAATAAAATAAAGGTACTGTGTCCATCTACAACTAAAAAGATTTCAAAAAAAAAAAAAATGAAAAAGTATCCTAAAACCTGTGGTATTCCTACAAGCACAACTCAGAGGAATATGTATAGATGGAAATGTCTTCAGTGTTGAGGAAGACAGAGGGGAAATAAAGAAGCCAAGTTCACAGAATAAAAATTAGAAAACAAAAAAGGAAACTGTGAAGAGAGAATTCATAGAGGAAACTAATAATATATAAAACAGGAGAACTTTAAAACACACACACATAAACTGAGTCTTTTAAATGAAAAAGTGAGGGAGAGGACCAAATTGTGGGGTTGAGGAAAGGGTTCAGGGTCCCTGCCTGGCCCAGCCCCTGTCCCCAGCCAGTGGCAGAAACCTGGCTTTAACCCTTGCCTTTCCAAATCCAACAGAGAAGCTACAGTGGCTAGTAACCATACACCTGCCATGATGTAAAAGGAAATCAAAACTACAGGAAGACGAGGCTTTTCTACTTTTGGAGAAGTGTGCCTCAGAGTGGGCTGTAGACTCCTGGAGGAAGTTCTGGAGTCCTGTCAAGTTCCATGCAATGTCCCGCAAGGGTGCAGACTCTCACAGATGGGCTCCACAGTGCTCACCTCTAATGTGGGTACCCTTCCCTTCTCCAGTCTAGTGTGCCTGTTGGAAAGCTCGCAGTTCCACACGTCCCATCTCCTTTGGAGTTGCTACGCTTGGTGACTGCTTTCTGGGTCCCGTCACTTAGATGCGGCAGCTCTGGGACTTGCTGGGGGTTAGTTCATACTTAACGGCCGAGTGGAGTGGGCTGGGTGGGAACCCGGCCGAACTCACTGTGATGGGGTGTGGTTTGGAATCCGGTAAAGACGAGCTCCAAGCCCTGTCCTGGTGGCTTGCCGGGATGGTTTCTGAAGGCTTTGGTCATGTTCATGGTCATGGCTTTACGCCATGACCAGTAAAATATAGACGTGATGAAAACCTTTGTTATTAGTAAGTCTGATAAGCTCTCATAAACAGAATCAAGTTCTAAATGTAAGCAGTATTGATCTTCAGTATTCACGGCAATATCTTTCTTTTTTTAACACTTCATGAATTTGCGTATCTTCCTTGTGCAGGGAGCGTGCTCATCTCCTCTGTACTATTCCAATTTTAGTACACATGCATTCCCGGCAATAGCTTAATGAGTGTATTGACCTCCTTTGTATTGCTCTCTCTCTCTTCTGAAATTTCATATTAAATTTGTATAAATCAGATTAAAAAAATCAGACTTTACCTGTGTTTCGTGGTGATGTGAGTGTTTTTACTATAAAGAAATAAAAACTGTTTGAGGGGATACATAGGTTAGCCTTCATTTAAATGTTGTACATGCATACGTGTATCAAAATATCACGTGGTGCCCCATAGATATCACAATTCTTGTGTTTTTGTTTTACTTAAATGTTTCAAAAGTGCTAAAAATAATAATAACAATAACAGGGTAAGTGCAAGCCAGCAGGACCCTGGCTGCCACCTGCCATTCTTCCCCAGAGCCCTGCGGTTGGATTCTGCGTCCACCACTCTACATCTCACCTCCAGACCAGACAGTGTAGTTAGCTCTCACCTTTATCCAGAACCAGCTTCCATGGGCTGTCTTCCCCTTCATGAAATCACCCTCTGAGCTTGGAGAACTCCCTTCATTTCCTGCTTCTGCCGTGGCCTCGTCTCGTCCCTCTGGTTGTCTTTCTGCTCCTGATCCTCAAAGTCGGTGCTGGTGGTGATGGGAAGTTAGTGTTCATGGGACCAAGAGAAGCTTGGGTCCGGCTGGTTGCACAACCTTGTCAGAGTGCTCAGTGCCACAGAAATTAGTGCCACTGACCATGGTACGTGGGTAGATTCTATGTGATGCATATCTTACCACAGTACAAAATTTGGTGCCAGTAAAAAATAGGGAACTTCTTGCCAAAAAAGAGGGATTCCATATTGATACATTGAAGCCTCTGCAACCAGCTCTCTCCTCAGGGTAGTCGGATCTGACAGTGGGTCAGAGAGTCCGCTGGCTAGTCTTCAGACATTGGAGACAAGGCCCTGAAATGCAATCAACAGAGACACATTGCCATTGTAAGGGAAAATGAACCAGGTCTCCTTCAGATTTTGAGACACTATTGTAATTCACCCAGCAGGTCCCATGCCACATTAACTTCTAAATTTGCTTTAGTACATTCATCCCCATTCTCTTTACAGAAAGTGCAGACTACCACTGGTAATTTGGAGTATTCTAAGATCCCAGGAATCTCCAGTCCTCTCTACCACCCTCCAACCTGACCAGCTTCCCAATACACAATGCTACTCCAGAGACCAGAAAAATGTCTTAGAGGAAATGTTAATATTTAAATTAAGGTGATTATATCGTGATTAATTTGTCAATTATTTAGGATTATCAGATAAAAATCAATGATTACCTTGGTTTTAATAGTTCAATATCGTTTTTTTAATCAAGGAGGAGAACCATCCAGAATTCAGATGGTAACGTTGCCTAACCTTTTCATCAAATGCATCGAATGTGAGTTGAGACCTTCTGTCATTTCTCAGTGCCCTCAGTGGTGCTTCATGCTATGGATGGATCAGCAGCTCCAGCCGATGGTAACGATGGCCTAATTGCTGCGAAACACCTGTGTGCCCTGCATTGTACTCAAATGCATTCTTGGGTGACTCATGTTGGGAAGCCTAGAAGGCTGGGCCAGTCTACATGCATTAAAGCAAAAGTTCTCAGATCACAATGCTCACTGCAGGACCAGAGGCTTCCTCAGGGCCTTTGGGACGGAGCGGACATAAAGTCTACCCAGAATGAACCGATGTTTGTCCCTCCGAGCTTTCCCTCTGTAACTCCCCAGGAGCCACCTTAACCTGGAGCTTGCCGCAGGCCAGGTGGTGGCTTGAGCAAAGGCCCCAGACTTCTGGGACCCAGCTGGACCAAAGTTACACCTTGATGCTTGTGTGTCCTTCAACCTGAGGTTCCAAGGCACAGCAGATGGAGGTCTTGAAATAAGCAGGGAGTCCCATGGTCCCGGCAACTCAGGAGGCCAGAGCAGAAGTGTTGTAAGCTTGAGGCCAACCTGGGCCATTTAGTTAGACCCTGTCTCAAAATAAAAAGTGCCAAGGGCTGGGGACGAAGTTCAGGGCTAAAGTGTCCCTGGGTCCAATCCACAGTACAAGGAAGAGAGAGAGAGAGAGAGAGAGAGAGAGAGAGAGAGAGAGAGAGAGA